CCCCTCCGGGCAGACACTGCCTGGGCTTGGGCTGGAAGCCTGCGCTGCCCAGAGCAGATGGCCGGCTGCCTTGGGAGCGAGGTACTTTGGTAGGGAGGGCAAGAACAGAGCAATAGAGCCGTAGGGAATGCGCCCAGGCAGAGGCCCTGCCCTGCGATGAGCATGTGCAGAGGGTGAGCAGACCTCTAGCCCAGTGGTCAACGGGGCTGGATCCCGCCTGGTCAGCCGCGCAGTTGAATCCTAGACCTGGTGGCTTGAAAAACATTCCAGATTCCCGTATGTGCATGTCCCAAATCCCGACAGGATAGGGAAATAGAGAAGGGACTGCTGCCTGCCATGCCCCACTGGGGATTGCGTTCTCCCGCTGTCTCTGTCTCTATGTCTCTCTCCTGCCAGTGCCTGCGTCCTCTGGCAGTTTACGAACAAATGAAGCAACCCGCACGGTCAGAGGGTGCAGAACGACTAGCACCTGTGCCAACCAGGAGCAGAGCGTTCCTACGGAGAGGAGGAGGGGCTCTGTGCCTTGTGGTCTGGGCTCCCCCATGGGTGTTCAGGAGGTTCACTGGTGGAGAACTGGTCTGAGTGAGAGCTGGCACCGGGAGGCAGGGAGGCCAGGTGGAGGCCTGGGCTGTGGAGCCTGCGGGGAGGCTGCGGGGGAAGGATCGTGGGGGAACTTTGAAGGCGTGTTAGTTACTGCGGGGTGCTCTGCTGCATGTATGTCAGGGGGAGAGCTGGGCTGGGAAACAATGGCAGAGGCGGGAGGTGCTGGTCTGAACAGGTGGGGTGACCGGTGCCTCCCATGGCCCCTAGGTGTCATTTCTGCGCTCAGGGAAGTCCCAGTGCTTGGACAGCAACTCTGCCCCCACAGCTGGTACCCAGCAACGACTGAGACCTGCAAGTGGGTGGGAAACACCCCAGGTGCAGGCTGCGGGCTGGCCGTGGGAAGTGCTGGCTTCTGGATGTGGTGGAGACGCTTCCTGCTGGGCAGCCCAGGGTCCCACCCAGCACATTCCAGAGTCGGGCCATGCTGGCAGCACATGGGCAAACACGGTGATGTCGCTGTGCCTCCAGGGGCTGGGGCCTCATTCCGTCAGCTCTGGGACACACTCTTTTAGAAGGTATGGCTTTGAGACCGCAGGAACA